AGTTCAGGTTGGTGCGATAACTGACAGATGGATTTGCCAATCAGAGAAACACGTGGTCCCTCTGTATCAAAACACACAAGTGGTTGCTATCATCTGAGTCTTGAGATTGTCAATCTTGAGATTGTCTACGGACTTTTTCTATTTTATACAAAACTGTGTAGCTTTGTATAAAATAAAAAAAGCCCGTTGCCTGGTCTTGTCTCTCAATTCATATGTGTGTGATTGACAGGTGGATTGGCCAATTAGATAAACACATGATGCCTCAGAAAAGAAAGCAGAGGACTGAAAAACATTAGACTCCTGCTTTGCCTGAGATGTGAAGGAAGGAGAGGTGAACAAACTAAATTAGAGAATCTGCAGGCAACTTTCTTGGTGAAAGATGTTTTAATTCTCAAACACATATTAAAAGCTCTTAATGTGTTCATATTTAAATGTTCTGCAAGAATAAGAACTACAACAGGAGTTGAGTAATGCCTCTGTTAGCAAAAAGAAGAAAATTAAAGAAACTAGAGCTAGTCTGAAAATATTCATGGATTTTAATTTGACATATAGCTACCCTATTAAGCCTTTCCTGCTAATTATTTTCTCTAGAAAGTTATAAAAGTTTGAATAACTATAGAATGTTTGTTTCTATAGGTCTCTACAAGACTTATGCAAATGAATTGGAGCACACCATTTTGTACTTATTTTTTAAATTTCACATTATTTGTGATATGTGTTGTTTTCTGGAACCAACACCATGCTTTTGAGACTTGTTTTTCTCCATTCACACACACACACGTACGCACGCACACACACTTTGAGCTTTGAGTCGCTCACGTCACAGCATATCCACAGAAATTGACATGAGTAATCCATCTCACTTATACCTGATGACATTAAACCACACTCTAATCTCCCTCTGTCTGTCACAAACCGAAACTAAAACTAATTCAACTTTTTAATATGTCGTTTTGGGCAAATATAGCATTTTCACTCCAACAAAAGTTAACACTGTGCCCTAAATATGTAATTTTAGCAATTAATACCCTGTCTTTAATAATAATACTAATTGGTTGACTTTTTATTCAAATGAAGACTCATTCTAAATTAGTGCTAATGACAAAGATACATCAGAAGTCTTTTGTAATTATCAGCCCATTGTTCAGAAGGCCGTATTTACATTGAGTTATTAAGTGAGACACACTCAAAGTCTATCCAATTAATACATAAGAGATTGTTGTTCTGACAAGCAGTGGTTTATAATTAATGCTACTCGTCATTGTCAGAGTAATTGAACTCACCATCTGCAGCTTGGCCATGCTAAGTGATTTCCAGGCAAACATATTAGGCCGTACACTGTAGTCAACTGTTCTGAGAAAAGACTATTTGGATTTACATCAGGACTAAGTAACTCATCTTAAAGGAACCATGTTACACTATTTTCTGTTCTGTTATAATGTTGTTTCCTCATCACGAATATTGGGTTTTGTTTTTGTTTTGTTTCATTCACACAAAAGGCAAAAGGGAGCTGTTAACATGAAAATTGCTGCTTCATGACATCACAAGGTGGAAAAGAGCATTTTGAGATTTGGAGATGTAGACAGACTATTAATAAAAACTAATAATACAGGATTTCTCAAACATGTGTGAATGAAGCCAAACACAACTCCAGTTATGTTTTTGATGAGGTAACAACATTCTAACATGGCTTAAGCTCACAAGAGTAAATTTTGGTTAATATAGGACCTTTAAATACAGTTTAAGTTTTAAAACATGGGTTAATTGTGAAATGAAGCAAACTTGACATGCTATCTACAGGTGTCAGAATGATGAAAAAATTTGCACATAGTAATATGAGCAATATTATTCCTTTTGACTGGTGAAAATTCCTCAAAATGACTCTTAATACATTTGACATTTTCACTGTTTTGGAGATTAAAATGGGTGTGTTTCATATTAACTTTGCACAAGAAGTGGTTTAACAAAGACTTTTAGTATCACAGCCATGATTTAGCCTAATTGATTTGAAATATATCGTACTGAATCGTATCAAATCGAAAGCTCACTGTATCGAGATATGTATCGTATCGTGCTCTTTGTATCGAGGTATGTATCGTATCTGCAACTTCTGAATGATACCCATCCCTACTAATAAACATGAAGCTCAAACCCATGAATAGGCTTGATTGCAGCAACATTCAAAACAGATTTATAGAAAATGTATAGAATCACCTCAAGCTTTTTTTAAACACAAGTTTATTAATTTATGCACAGTTCATCTTGGTGATATTTTCTTCTGTCCCATCTCTGTATCAGGTTCTCCCTCTGACAGGTGGTGGGGGTCAGATGCCATTAGGAGGTGAGGGTCAAAGGGTAAAGGTCAGGTTAAGGAGTCCATTAATGGTCACTAATAACATTGACCGCCATTGAGCTGAGGTGTGTGTTTGGATACACACTGACACAAATAAACAGATATAATTACAGCGAAAATATAGCTTGAAATTGTGAAAATATTCTGTATATTTTACTTATCAATACATTTACCTTATTTTCTTATAGACAAATTATCAATAATCATTTTGTGCGGCAAAGTTGTTGAATGTAATAGCTTTTTGAACACTACTTATATATATATATTTTAAAGTTCTATATTACACAAAGCTTTAATGTTGAAAATCACATTCTGTTGTCTAAAGAAAGTTTTATTTATTATCATGGTGGTATCAAAACTGGTATTGAGTATCAAGTCTATTCCTTAGTAACAAAAATGAGTTTGAAATTTTAGTATTGTAACAGTACTACTAAGATTTAATTTTTATCTGACTTATCAAGGCTAAATTTAGTTAGTGTAAGGAGATACCACAATCCTTAGCAAGTTTTTATTTTGTGTTTTGTTTTTTTTTAAACCGTAGATGCCTCTCTACACCCAATGGCGTTCCCATGCATTGAGTTATCTCCCGTTTATAATTTGATGATGTTACATGAGGGCAAGAGGTAAAACAATGGCGTTATAAGTGACGATGGTGTGATCTGTTAAACTGATGGATGGATAATGAATAAAAATCAATTAACATCTGAGGTGTGACGCTGGTGTCAGGTTCATAATAAATAACAGTCAGAGCGTGAGTCAACAATGGAGACAGGACAGAAAAAAAAAACACTGAGGTGAGGAAGATGTGTGTCCAGGGAGCAGTAATCATTACATTAGAACATGACATAAGGCTGACATGAGAGAGGGAGGGAGAGGGGGATTAGGAGACGGTAAGAAAAGGAGAGAGAGAGATGGGGGGACAGGAGGGGTGAGGAGAGAGAAAGAAAAAGCAGCGATGGCGGAGAGAAAGAGGGATGGGAAGACTGAGAGAGAAAGAGAGAGAGAGATAAAAAGAAAGAGACAAGGGAGAAAGGAAGAATGGAAGGGCAAAATGAGAGGGGAGCGGGAGAGATTTGGTTTAATGTCCGAAGGTATAAGTGAGATGGATTACTCATGTCAGTCCATTTCTGTGAATGCGCTGTGACGTGAGTGACTTCATTCATTTCAAGACACAAAAATCAAAGTGTGTGTTTGAATGGGGAAAAACAAGTCTCCAAATAATTACATTGTTAGATGCAGCGATACATACATTCAAGAGAACACATATATAATGTATATATATGTATATATTTCTCATTGCCATATTATTAGAAACTCCGGCCTTGATTATTATTGGCAAGTTTCCTGCAACAAACAAAAGTTGGAGTTGTTTGTTGTTTCATTCACACATGTTTAACACACAAACTACATATTTAGGTTGAGTTCATCTCTTAAATTGAAAACACTTCTGTTCCACCTTGTGATGTCATGTGGTAATACAAGAAGTGCGCCAGTGTGTGTGTTTTTTTTCGTTTTTTTTTAACTCCACACACCTTCAGTAGAATCATTTGGATGATTTTAGGAGATGTAGACAGATTAATAAACCAGATTTACTCAAACATGTCAGAATGAAACAAAACACAACTCCAGGTATGGTTCTGATGGGGTATGAGGTATTATAACATGACTTGAATTATAGTACTTTCTTTTACATTTACCCTCATTTGTCCATGTAGGTTCCATAGTGATGCTAGTACTATAGTAGTTTATGTGGCCTTATATGTGTTCTGATTAGGGGTGTAATGATATCCAAGTCTCACAATACAATATCGTCATGGTATGAACCTGACAATATGATATTTATTGCGGTATCGTGGGAAAGCTCACGATATGGTGGGGAGTAACAATATCCAATCATAACAATAATAATAGCATTGACAAGACTTAATCCAAAGAACTAAGACTTAAAAGCACTTAGAACTGTTATTTTTTCTTTTAGTCTACACTGAAATGGAGCAAAGGATCATAGTCTATGTAGTTGCCTCTGGCTTTTTATTAGCTATTGTGATGGTCCACAATATTATTGTGAGAACTCTGATGATACGATATCACAATATTTCAGCTACTGTTACATCCCTATTTCTGATACAACACAAGATCATTCTAAAGCTAGGTTTATTTCTGTCCCGTGAGTGTGACCTTAGTATAATTGCCCAAATAAGAATCTAGTACTGGTTAGTATCAGATTTTTTAAACTTTTGACAACCCAAATTCCTAATGAATAAATTGTTTATTGAGAATGATTCAGGTTTAGTCAATACTTAATGCTCTAGCTCTTTAATTAAGTAGGTACTATGCTTGAATTATTGTGTAAGCAGTGCTTTTTTGGTTTGTTTTTTGGTCATTCAAGATATCCAACATGAAATAATAAAGAAATATTGTCTCCAACAAATATGAAATAATATAAATTCACTTTTCAAATAAGCGGAGGCCATGTGAAGTACTTAAAATGATCCTTGGACTCACTGACCAACTAAAATGTCCCCTCTTCACATAAACCATCTTATCATTCATTCATGTTTAAAATGTGTATGTTTTGTTGTTTTTATAGTTTTTATTCCTTCTTGCCAAAATTAACCAATAACCAACACTGCTTCCTTTCTTGCAGATCGCGAGCCCTGCCGTCCCCGCTTCCGACCGCTCCTATAACAAGCACTCATTTAACACAGGGTAAGTATTTTTCTGCACAATTTCATATCACAAATATTAGATTATTGCATAAATGTCCCAAATGAGCAGCACCATCTTTGCGGTAGCCCTCTGTAAGCCTATTCATTTCCGCGTGTTTGCCTCTATCGCTGTTTATTGATGTTTTTGCAGAGTGTTTTTGTCCTAGTTTCCCTTCGTTAAATGTGTTCTCTCATCAAGGCCATTACACATATAGTTACAGTAACAACTCTCCCATCATTAGCTCACTACAAAAGGCTGCCAAAACCAGGTCAGGGTTTGCACGCAGAGTAAACAGCCTTGCTCTCGTTGTCGTGCACAGAAATAAATAAATAAAATAAAAAATAAACTGTAGACTGCATGGATACTCGCTAATGAACGCTGCCTAATTAGAAAGCAGGGTGCACAGGCAACCCCCCCACCCGTCCTATGTGAGATTTTTCTGGGTTGAGGGGTTTGTTTTGGGGGAGTGGGAGTAGAAACTGAGCCACATGCAGTTTTTTATATCAGAGATGTTACCATGTTGTTACCATGTTCAAGGTTGCACTATGAATGTTAACAAATTAGTGCCAGCGGTAAATTGGCTGTTTACTCTATTTCTATGGGGTATTTTGGTTCTGTGCAATGTATGGGAAATATTTTTATCCATGGGTTTCAGAATGATGAGACATTAGGACTGTTGCCATAGTGATGAAGAATTTTAAACTAAATATTATGTCTTTTGAATGGTAAGTCCTCAAAATGTTGAATATAAGAGGAAGCTGGAACACAGTCTAATGCGAAACGTAAAATGGCCTAAACTTGACCCATAATGTTTTGTGGCCACATGGCCATGTCCTATTTAGGTCCTGATGAAGTCCTGTTCTAGTCCTGGTTTAGTTTTGGTCTAGTCCAGGTTTAGTTCAAGGTCAAGTCCCAATTTTGGTAGGTGTTGAAAATACTTAGCCATCAATATGTTGTCCCTAGACTAGGAAAAATCATGATTATCGTATTTTTCAGACTATAAATCGCACCAGCCAAAAATATGTGTAATGAAGAAGAAAAAATATATATTAGTCGCACTTTTTGGGGGAAATTAATTTTATAAAATCAGAGACCAGGAACTGACATTTCATCTTGAAAGGCAAGTTATAGTAATAACAATAGAACAGAGAACAACAGGCTGTTAATGTCACATATGAACAGTTATTCAGATAACTATGGTAAACTTGTTATGTTCTGTTGGTTATGCTAAACTCTCACTCCAAATGACTAAATCCATTGAATTCTTCATCCTTGGTTTCACTCTGCACCGCTTCCTCTTCTACGTGGCTGATGTATCAGTTCTAGTTAGAATTATTCCGGCCATTCTGAATACCAAAAGGATGGTTTCGGTTGTTTTTATGTTTGTTTAAATTTTAAATTGCGGTAGAGCAGTAATGGTGCGATCAACTGACATGATACCAGACAGGACAGTGGCTCTTTCTTTTTCTTCTACAGCCGACATGCGCAGTAGAATGCGAAAAGACAGTGGTACAGGAGTTCACAAGCCCAGAGTGCCCTCTCGCGGTTTTCAGTGTGAAAATTTTAACATATAAGTCGCAACTTAGTATAAGTTGCAGGACCACCCAAACCATGAAAAAGTGCGACTTGAAGTCCGAAAAATACGGTAATGTAAAAAAATAATAATAATACATAAAAAATACTCCAAATACCCACTCAGATATACAGTCCAAACTTATGTAGTTTCTATATTCCATACCATCTCCCATCTCCACTCCAATAGCCATCTCCCATCTCGACTTGAACAAAGATTGGCCCCACTGCTTTCTCCACTGAACCACTATAATATTGTCCTCATAACTGTGTGCTGCTATTCCGGTACATTTCAATGAAACATCTCCCCTCATAAACCGCCAGGCGCTCTCCTGATTAAGTGCAATAAAGACCTATTTTTCTCTTTAATAATACATGCTGTTACTTTTATTGTTTTCATGATCTTCCCACAAAACAACCAAGTGTGAAAGAATCGCCGCCAAATTGATAAAAATATTCATTATTCCAAACTCGCCCACACACACGGGCCATCTCTGCGGTGAGTAATGTAAAAATGATGTAATGGTTTTCATGGTCGGCAGGGAAACGATCCTTGAAATTGCAAAAAAAAAGTCCAAAATGAGTTCAGGGAGCAGCCTATAAATATTACAGGACTGAAGCATACCTTAATTGAAATTGCGCAAGGATATATATTAAAGAAATGGTGCTGTGTACATTCATGCTTTCTGGTTTTCTCTCCCATCAAATCTATTTACTCAACCTGTTAAAAGTAAACCAACGGCTATAAATAAAGTAATGGCCTATCATGATTTTAAACACAGCATGCATACCGCAGGAGTCATTACCTTTGGAGAAAATGTACTTTTATGAAATGAAAGCGAGTTAAGGTGAATCGCTTTCTAGAAATAGCACTGCGCCTCCTATACTGGGTTACTTTGAGAAATATGAGATAACATTTTTGCCATGTATTTCAGTAAAATATGTCTCGTCCCAGCACAGTATGTATAAGCTACAAGTTTGTATAAGCAACTCTTGGTGTGTGCATCTAATTATAAAGTGTTTTAATATCAGGAAGTGCATGATTAGCATGCTAGCAGCTGTTAGTATTACAGTTACAGCAAAACTCCGCCAGTGAAAGTTGTGAAAAGAGCTAATAAAATCATGGTGAATAATTAGGATGCTCGGAATGCAGAAAGCAAGTTTTTTAAGACAGTAGAAATGAGATACAGCATCTTTATAGCAAAATATACACATTCTGATTGGTAAATTTATTGAAGTGTCACCGTATGCTACCCTGATTCATCAGCCAGTTTTACTTCGTTTCACTTCGTACAAACTGTCTGACCTCGCACCGTTAGAATTTGTTTGCTTGACGGTAGGCGGGCACTTTTTGTCATTTAACCAATCGCTGCTACTGGTATATAAAGCTTTTCCCTAATCCAGTAGGAAGAAGGGCAATAACGTCTTTCCCCTTGATAAAATTCACCAAACATTCTCTTTGTTACAACTTTAAATCCTCGATCTTGGGAATCGTTGCCAACACAGAATGTATGGCTCTTCGCTGATTGGCTGGTGTCCAAACTTGCACTTCCGGGGTTTTTGCGAACTGTCTGTTGTATTTTAATTCCTGACCTGCTCACTGGAGAGAAATGAAATTGAGCGGAGGCACTGGGTGGCGCCAGCCTGGCAAACCGCATGCAGTGCCGATAATAGGAATTAAACCATCAACTTTCTGGTGGGTCATAAACCTGTGCTGCTTTTTTGACTGGAAAATCATGAAAACAATACAAAACAATACTAACTAATACAAACTAGCTGTATCCATTGTTATTAAAGATAACATTAAACTTATAGCACTTAATTAGGGTGCCCACAATGGTAGTGGAAAGTACAATTTGATTTTCCTGGTTAGATAAGTTTACAAACAATTCCCTATAATCCCATTTTGATTTATTTAAAAAAAATAAAATAAATACTACAACACAGATGATCACCGAGTTGTGTTATGCTGCAACTTTTTGGTGGCAGCAACACCATCTGCTTGTCTCCTTCTTCTATCCTATCCCATTGCTTTGCATCGAATATTCCACAGTATGGCATTTCACTTTTCTATCGCCATGGAGACAAGGAAGTGACTACACCAGGCCAAGTTACAGGTCAGATCCCTTGATATAACACTGCTCCCAGTAAGAATGTATGTGTTCAAGGTATTTCTGAGCAGTAAAAACACTATGAATGAAATATATGCTAGATAAATGCATTTAATATGATACTATGGAACCTTCCGGAAACAATAACCATGGCGACAGGCTGATTATGGAAAGGTTACATAATGCACGTTACAAGGTTTTGTAATGAAGATTTCATGTACAAAATCTTATCTTTTCAGTGATTCTTATTCCAGTATGAAGACTAAATATCTCTAAATATCATGATCCTTTATTCAGTCTTGTGTCCGTTCACGTCATTATTAACCTTAAGTAGTGGTGCCCATTTGTACCTGTTTACAATCCCTATTTATTCCACAGCCGCCTCTTCTTTTCTGAAGCCCGACCCGACCACAAAGCTCTCAGATAAATAAGACGCATGAGAGCTCAGTGTTAATGGACTCTCCAATTTTTTTTTTTTTTGTCTTTCAAACCGTGAAGCAGTGAAGTGGCAGGTGTACGAATAACACCTGCACGCTTCATCTTTTCTCAAACCCTTTTTCCCTTCCCTCACAATCCAGGTTTTGTGTTGCATTGATGTAGCCTGTCAAACATTTCAAAAACTGAAAAAAAAAAAAAAAAAAAAAAAAAATAGAAATAAAAAACTGGTTTCGCAAATGGATTTCGAGTGGGGTTTTTGTACCGATCCATTGGGAGCTTTGAGAGATCAGAGATAGCAAAGAGGAAGCGCTGGAAGATACCCCCCCTTCCCCTTCATAATTATTCAATTCATTAGCCAAGTCTAATTAATTCAAAACCTCCTTTATAATTTCTCCAAGTTTCTTTCACATCTATTAAAAGTGCTTATAATGCGTTTTTGTTCGACTTTTGTTTAGCTGCCAATAGAAAATACATCAGCGGAGAGGGAAGCCATTACCTGCTCACCAAGTCTGTTTGAAAAGCAACTAATGTTTGGCAAAAGAAAAGTATGAATAATTATTTTCATATTTGTCTCATCACTGGTGTTGTTTCACGCTGCTAGTATAACAAGGTATGGCAGATGTTGTGTGCATAAACCATCTGGTGCACTGCTGCGTAGGCTTTGTAGTGGAAACTTTTACACCGATTTGAAATAAAATAAAAGGAAATGCCTGTTTTTTTGGGTTTTTTTTTTTTGAGTATTGCAGTCATACACGATTGGTTATTTCCACTATTAACAGTTCTATGCTGAGAAAATTTGCAGTGAGTATTGGTGCGCTTATGGTTCCATCAGCTGTGGCTCCAATTTATATTCTTTTGAAAAACTATTGCCTCTCTCTCCTTGGATGCTGCTGTCAGGCTGTTAGGAAAATGTTTGTATTAACCATAGATTGTAGACAAAGGGCGTGTGACGTCACCCATAGCGTTCATAGCCACTCAAATGAAGCTTGCGATGCTACAGAAGCGATTTTGGAGCCAGGCTCTATATTATGAATAGGACGTTTTTGACGTACAAAATAGTGAAAAAAACCAACAACCTAGGATCATGTAGAGCGGGTTAATACGAACATTTTAAGAGCAAAATGACGAGGCTCATAGCAGCAGTTACAGAGAGAGAGGCCACAATATTCCAATGTAAATCAATGGGAACCAGGGATCAGAAGGAGTCGGAAGAGCCCACATGTGAACTTGCTATCTGGAACACAGTGGGTAGAGCGTTAGCTATGTCCATATATATATATATATTAGTATTAACCCACTCTACTCTACATGATTCTGGTTTCGTTGTTTTGTCCATAAATCACGATATGAACATTAATAACAGACCAATTGGACACCTTCTTTCCCTGACGTTGTCCTTAGCAGCAGGAGCGATTGACTGACTGATTGTATTTTATAACACCTCTCCTGGAGTTGTCCACCTTTGAATCAAGGTTTTGACTTCTTTATTACATGACTTAAGAATGCTGTGTGTAGTGCTTTTGGTCAAAAAAACTTACCAGCCTTATACTGTACACTTTACACTTACACTGTACATTAGGGCCACAACATCGGTTTCAATCAAGCTGAAATTAGCAGTAATAAGGTCCTCTGTAAATAGCTAAATATCTTTTGAACTTAGTGTCGTATTGTCAATAATTCTCAATACCTCAATAAGTTTAGAGTAAACCTCTAAGTAACAAATGTGATTCCTGTATTAGTTTAGCAATACATATTTGAGTCTCCTCTCAATTTTTATGCTTCTGGATGTGTTTATTTCCCTGATGGCGAAGCATAACTAACCACCATTAGATATTTTTCAAAACATTTTCAGACCGCCTGTACATGTTCCCTCTTTACAATACTCATTATGAAACTTGATAATGCGGACAGCTTGCTCCAAAGTCAGACATGATGGTGTTTGCCAAATGCCCCCTGAGAATCACTGCAGAGGACAACAATTAGTTTTTCAATCAGTAACACAGCCCTGTTTATGGACCATTCAGTGTGGGGGACCAGTCTGAGTGTGTGAACGGAGCCCATAGAGAGAGACCAACTGTCTATTCAAACTTAACAAAAGTCCAGACACACAACTCTCTCTCCCTCTTTTTCTCTCTTTCTCTGTCTGTCTGTCTGTCTGTCTCTCTCTCTCGCTCACTGTTGCCATATTTCATTCTCTCTCTCTCTCTCCACCCCTCCCTCCTTTCTTTAGTCCTTTAATTCCCCTTTCTCTTCCATCTACCTCTTTCTTTCACCCTCTTGTTCTTTTTCTTTACCCTCTTCTCTTTCCCTGTCTCTCTCACCCTCTCATTTTGTCTCTCGATTTGTCTCTCTCCCTCTCTTTCTTTCCCCTCCCCTCGCTTTCACGCCCCCATTTCTTCATCTTCTCTCTCACCCTTTCTCTTTGCCTCTCTTCTATTCTACTTCTTTCTATCTACCCCTCCCTCTTGTCTCATCTCTCTCTTTATCTATCTGTCACCCTCCCTCTCTCTGCTTTCTCCCCTTTTCTTTCATCTATTCTCCTTCTCTCTATCTACCCCCCCATTCTCTCTCTCTCTCCCTCCCTTCTTTTCACTCTTTTTCCTCTCTCTCTCTCTTCCGGCCCCATGTCTCTCTTGGCTTATTCCAGTCTGTACTTTACATTCATCCTTTGTTTAAAAGCGTGCGTGCGTGTGGAAGTCCTTGTTTATTTGATTAGTTTATCTGAGCGCGTGCAGTAGTTAATCCTCTCCTGACCTTCTCTCTGCTCCCTCGTGTGAGCTGTTTGTCAAAGTTATACGACTCAGAGTTTGGTGATCTTGACTTACATAACACCTCTGTCGTAAACAAACTTGCAGCGATGACAGTGCAGCTAATTATAAGTCTGAGAAACAGTTACTTACCGTCAGGGGTGGGTGATATAGGAAACAATTAATATCATAATTTTCTTAGAGCCTGAGCATACTTTTGAATTGATTCTGTATAAAGTCATCTACTTTGTCTGAAATTTCACTGTGACTGGTTGAATTCGATTGGTTGAATTCAGCTGTCACTCAGCCATACAGATGTTTACTGATAGGAGAATTGTGGGAAAATTCTGTCTTTGAACATATTACTGCATAAAATAGGGAAACTGTGAACTGCGATATGATCAACATAGCAGATTTATATCAGTATTTTGCACAGGACTACTTACTATACCTACCTACATGTATACTGGCTGTGGCTCACTAATTGATCCACAAATTCAAAGGTTTGAGGTTTGATTCCTGTTCCGACCTGTTGATACTGTTTTTGTGTCCTCAGGCACAACCTTGCCCGTGAATAAATGTGTTTTCTGAGTTACTATCTAATTATTATCTTCAGTTATTATCTTTCAACTCACTGTACTCTCACTCATTGTACATGCGTGGCCATTAAACTGCTATTCAAAATGCAAAATTCAAATCCACACTTTTGTCACATACATTGAGCTATAGTTGTGTTTACCTATTTAAGTACCGGTATTTGACTGCTAATGCTTTGTGCTGTATTCCCACACAAAACTAATCATTCAGCCAATTGTATTAACTCTCTTTTTTTGTGTTTTCTGTGTCTGGTTTTGTTTCCAGCCTGACGAGAACAGTGGAGATCTTGGGCGAGGACAGTCCTTTGGGGATCCATGTTGTCCCGTACTGCTCGTCCCTCAGTGGACGGTAAGCTCCGAGCAGCCACTTGTTTTTACACAAATACAGTGTCTCAAAACAAACTCAATACCTTCGACTGTTTAAAGCAGGTTACTGTCACTGATTTTATTCTTTATTTTATTGCTTTACTGTGGATTCTTACTCATGTTAATTAATAAGTAATTATTATTAAATGTAAGTAAATTCCTGGTTTGTCACAGAGGTCAAAGTTTATACAAATTTCATTGTTAATGTGAAACAAATATTTTCACATTCATTACATAGTGAGCAGTGACAGATTGATGGCACCTAGTCTTTGGGCGTTGGACAGTCCAAAAGTGTATGGGAAATTCCTTGAACAGAGCAGGATATATTTTCATGGTTGTTCTCATGCTTCACCTGACCCTCTCATCACGTCTCTACATTCCTCTGTGAGTCCCATATCCACACTGTCCTCCACCCTTTTCCTCTGCTGCAGCTACAGTCCGTCTGGTTGCACTGACCTTTCACCTTTGAACCCACTGCCACACTTCTGGAGATATTCTTTTGTCTGTATCTGTCAGACCCATGGGGCTAAACATAGAAAAGAAATACAAGAGAGTATCTGACCTACATTTACATTTCAACAGTTCTTTCAACAATATTAAAGGTCCTGTATTACCCAAAATGCATTTTTGTGATCTTTAAGTCATGTTAGAATGTCATTAGCTCCTAAAAAACATACCTGGAGTTGTGTTTTGACAGTAGACATTGCCTATTCCAGGGCTGAAATCCTCATGAAGGTGTATGGAGTTTAAAAAACACATTGAAGCACTTTCTGTGTTGCCACATAACAAGTGGAACTGAGTGTTTTGTGTTTGAGAGAAGAATTCAGCCTAAATATGCAGAGTTTGTTTGCTAAACACCCAACTCCATGTATGTTTATGATGAGGAAACAACATTATAACATAGATTAGAAAATAGCATGATATAGGGTCTTTAACAAAATATGACTTCATACAGCCCACATTCATCCATTCCTCCTACTCTTGATCTTTAGTTAAATCACTTCATGATTTACATGCCATTCCTCTCCTTGCCTTCAGGCCTCTGGGTTTGTTCATCCGCGGCATTGAGGAGGACAGCCGGAGCAGAAAGGAGGGACTTTTTGTGGAGGATGAATGCATCGTCAAGATCAATACTACCGACCTCATGGACAAGTCATTCAGCCAGTGAGTGCCACCTCTGCTTTAGTCCCCATTAGGCCCCATACTAGTGAGAAATTACATCTGACATGATTTAAACCTCTCCAATGGCATAGACAGAGCTAGCATACAGTGTAATCCTTTTATTAGCCTGTCCTTCCTTGGGTTGTCCTTGGTTTTTATTGTGACCGATTCAGACAATTTATAGTACATCATTTTAGCAATATTTAATTAGCTACATTTTCCCCCTTTAAGCTTTTATGCTATATTTGACCTTTTAAAATGTCATTCCTTTGTACATTAAATACCAACCACTGTGTTTTAATTTTGAATAGTATAGAATAATATATCAAAATACATGGTATTTTTAAAATGACTAGCTTGCCTTTTAATGTAATTTTCTATGTTTCTATTCTGTCCTTTTAGTGGCTTTGTCTTATTTTGTCTTATTTTTTTTTAGTCTGTTATGGGGTTGCCAAAAGTATTGAAAATAAGATACTAATCGATACTAAAACTAGTGTCGAAACTAGATATTCATTTGAGCAAATACTAAAGAAGTCACATTCAAAGGACAGAAATGAACCTTTCTTGAATATGCTTTGAATGATCTTGAGCTGTATCTGATCAAGTATACAAGTAGAAGTAAACTAGTATACACTCATGGACCACTGAACATACTTGAATGACTCAGGGTCACATAGTAATATAAAAAAAAGTACTACTTACTATGTAATGTTGAAAATGACATTTTATTTTCTAAAGTCTGGTGTTTCTTCTTGTCATGGTGGTATTGGAGTATCGAGTCTATTCCTTAGTATCGAAATTGAGTTTGAAATTTTAGTATTGTGACAACACTAATCTGTTGACAATGTACCTTAAATTAAATAATTATATTGTATAAGATATGAATAAATTACTTAATAAATGGTTTATAGCTAAAAAGGCAATTGATACTTTTAATTCCATACTGTGGAACATTGCAGGCAAAGCAATAACATTGCAATGGCAACAACAGTCACTTGACACACACTCCCACAATGTTACATAATGCAGCTTTAAGGCTAAATTGTTCGAGCATTAAATTCTGAACTTGAAATTTCCATTGGTATTGTACTGTATATTTGTCCTTTCTTAGTACTTGAAGTTTCCTTTTTTGTCTTTTTTGTCCTACCACCTTCACAACTAAAGAGACAGATGCTTTGAGAATACCCAATTCATCTGGATCTTGCCTTGATTTCTCAAAGGATAGTTTTGTTCATTCACATAAATCTCCCCCTAAACGCGTCTAAGCAAAATTGTCCCTATCCTTTTATTAATGCTCCTAAAGAAGTATTATGGGATTTGGGGTATTCACCAGTGCACTGAAATGACAAAACCACACCTGTGGAAATGTTAGTCACTGTTAAAAATCAATGATGTGGATGCTTTTGATTACAATGGCAACATCTTTTCATTTTTGGCCATAATCCGTGTCCGGTTTAGAGTGTGGTAATGAGATTAGACATGCAGAGTTTGATGCTGTGCTGTAGGTAAGTGGATTAACACTGCAGGAGGTTCAATCTATTGTTCATAAAGACAAGATGCTCCTTTGTGTAGATACATGTAACATATGGGACATAGTGTTGTGTACTTTACATATGGGACAGTATATGCAATGGTAAATTATCTGTTGTACTTATGTTAGTTTTCTGTCATATTGTTTGGCACTTGAAAATATGCTATAGGTTTTAAAGAGCCCATGTTACGCTGTTTTCTGATATTTAGTATGTTGTTTCCACTCTGTTCCACCTCGTGATGCCAAGCGGTAATAGAGGAAGCATCCTACTGTGTTTTAAACTCACACTTTTCATATTCCTTCGTTAGAATCATTTGGATAATTTCAGGTCTGGAATTTCCAAATTCTTCTGACTAATAATAAAGGTCCACTCAAACGTGTGAATTAAACAAACACAAGTCCAGATACTGTATGTTTTTGGCATGACTTAAAAATCACAAGGGACAGTTATGCGTAAAATAGGACCTTTAAAGGGTTTCACACAAACTTGAATGTTAGGATAGGAACACATGGCAAGTATATTCTCATCAATTTCCTCTGAAATCCTAACTTTTGCCGTGGTCACCGTAGACCTGTTATATAATCCTAATCCTAAATAGAAACTACATTGTCAAAATCTACCTTTAAATCATATATTTTATATTTGGAATTTGACCTAACTTTACTCTGATCATTTCAAATGTCACAAGTGAATTAAAGAAATGCAGTGGATTGTATTCTATAAATCCTGGCAATTTGTTTTTTTAGGATTTTCACAGCATAATAACCTTTCAGCTAGTTTCTGTTGCTTTTTACTTCAAAGGGGCAATATGTCCTCTGCATTTGACCCGTCCTTTATGTTGCTGGACGAACATTGTTTGAGCCATGAATACTGTATATTCAGTCAGTCCAGTTTTGCTTTTTTCCCTCAGAATAACAGAATTGTACTCACCTCTGTTCAGTTCACATAAGTAGGCCATTGGTCGTCCTCTTAGTGTCCACACAGTAGCACATACACACACACACACAACACACACACAAACACACACACAGCTCCATTGTTCCCAGTTGGCAGCTTTACTGAAGAAGGCTGTTTGATTAGGATATCTCTTTTACACAAACGTGGCTCACACTGAGAGAGGCCATAATGATATCATCTTTACACAATGGCCTCTGGACGACACCAATCTGCCCCTCCATCTAATGTTATTGTTCCGCATTGTAGCTTTAGTACAATGAGCCAAGCACAAGTGTCATTCAACAAGGTGTGATACTGGCATTTATGAGACTGTCCTGCCAGAGCAATGGGTTCAATATGGAAATTAGAAAAGCAAAATATTGGAAAAAGAAAAGAAAAGAAAAAAAAGGCTGTAGTGGGTCAGGATTCAGATGGTTAAAGCTGCACTACCCACTGTTTCTCTTGTAAATGGCTGCATTTGTTTTTCACCATAAAGTGCAGGTTTTTTTACCTTTTATTTGAGCAAAATCTCTTTCCCCAGTACATATATTTTGTATAAGCAGCTCAAACTAAGTCCTCTATGTACTGTATGTATCTGTTTATAAAGCTTTCTGTTGTCAACAAATCAGAAAGTATGTGGTTAGCATGCTAGTTGTTGGAAACTAGAATGCATTAGAAGTTTAGAATGCATAAGGTAAAGTGAGGAGGACCACTGCAAACCATGTAAAATGAACTAGTTTTGTTTTTCCATATCTTTAAGACTGTAAAAGCTATAAGCTGTATTTTATGACAAAATCAGATCACTGCATGTCGTTATCTAATTATAAACCATTTTATTAATTATATAACATTTTAAGGTGAGAGGTGAGTGAGCATTGGTGGTCCAACCTGTTTCACTTTGCAGCCTGAAAAAGCCATTCTAAATTTAACACATGCTCAAAAAATCATGAATACTAGAGAATACTATATTTGCCAAAGGGTTTGTGAGAACTAGTGTGACAGATTTCAATACTTCCTCTTTCATGATTCGAATACCAGGTACTCCTGCTTTAACTGAAATCCCTAAAACCACAAGGTTACTGGTTTGAAACCCAATCTTGCCAGTTCATAGTTTTCTTGTGTGGGACGCCATGGCCTTTGCCCCAGAGCAGTGCGTTATGCTTTTCATACATTAAAAATACATTAGTTTCAGTCTTTACAGGTTATAAATAAAGGAATACATTTTAAATATTACCATTGCTTTTAATTATTATTATGCATATTCCTTACAAAGAAGAAAGCTGCATTTTTTCTGTCTAATACCCCATAAATTACAATATGAATACTTTATACATATGATATTGTGGACCTAATCTCTTGTTACGGAAACATTATGGTCATTATGAGTCCAATAATAATCTAGGAGGGATACAATGAGGCTTTAATCCAATAACAGTGAATAAACCAGATTGTCTCTCTTGGATTTCTGAAGTGAGTAATGGTTTATGCCGATAGCTCCTGACACACTGCTTCCTCTAACATACTTAGCATAATCTCATAATTATGATTATCTGCAAAATGATCTCTTTTATTGACCATAGGAGTCCGATGGCCGACTGTGCAGGTGTGTGTCTGCTTTCTGATAGACTGTCGGTATTTCTGCACTTCATGGTACTTATTAAGAACGCAGCCTTTTGTTATACGTTTGAGCAATTTATGAAGATGCATCATTAAGATAAATGGGATTCTTGTGATGGGAAGCTAGATGATGATGTTGTTGCCGCACCCTCATTTTGGGAGCGGCAACAGTCTACTGAAGTAAAAGTATTGAAGCGCCCGTTGAAAATGTACTTAAAGAGTAAAAAGTTTTTAAGTACGTCTTTTGCGCAGATTTTCAGTTCAAATAAAGTTTCAAATGTAGTGATATTGATAAAGATTTGTGCTGAATTTTGTTCAACAGAGATGAATCTATTAGGGATGTAACGATAGTCAAGTCTCAGGATATGATATCATCACAGTATGAACCTCACAGTACGATATTTATTGCGATATCGTGGGAAAGCTCATGATATGATGAGGAGGCTCACAATTAGGGATGTAACAATATCCAAATCTTTCAGTCTGATATTTTCATGACATACATCTCACAGTACAATATTTATTGCAATATTTTGTTGAGGTGAATAGACTTCTTTTTCCTCTTAAAATGCCTTGACAAGACTTAATCCAAAGAACTTAAAAGACTTAAAAGTGCTTAGAACTGTTATTTGTTCTTGTAGTCTGCACTGAAATGGAGCAAAGGATCATGGTCTATGAAGTTCCCTCTGTCTTTTTTAGCTACTGCTGCAGCATAATTCTTAATTTAAGCAAAAAGACTTGTAATTCAATATATTGTAATGTCTACGATGTTATTGTGAGAACTATTGAATTGTTTTTTTCCAAGTGTAAATTTTGTGTAATATAAGACCTTTAATGTACATGGGTTAGTGTAATTTCTTTTATAGTAATTTGCGTGCTGTTTTCTAGGAATCTATAGTGTACCTTTGCTTACTACATTGGTGTATTCTTCAGACTGTGTAGTATTTTTACTTTTTTCTCTCCTTTTTTCCCCCCATCCAGAGCCCAGGAGATCTTTCGGCAGGCCATGCGCTCCCCTATTGTCCGTCTGGAGGTGGTCTCATCCTCCAACAGAGAGAGATATGAGAAGAGTCTGATTGGACAGCTCTTCAACAGTACCCCGGTACCCCCAGGCCCAGAGAGCAGTCCCCGGGTCCCCAAACCCAAAGACCCCCCTCCTCCTGTCATGGCCAAACCAGTGTTCAGACCTCCAGAGAGTACGGCCATGAGGACACCAGAGGAGGCTGTGCCAATGGAACCTCCTGTCCGGGTAAGATTGATTTGTTAATATCCGTACCACCAGATAATGTCTAAATCAGGTTAAAAGGGCCCTATGACGCTATTTTCTGATCTGTTACAATGTTGCTTCCTCTTCACAAACATACCTGGAGTTATGTTTTGTTTCATTCACACATATTTAACTCACAAACCCTGCATATTTAGGCTGAGTTACGCTGGAATTCCTGTCTCTGTTAAACAAAAGGTAAAAGCTTGTTGTTAAATTTAAAACTGCCCCATAATGACATAACAAGGTGGAACAGAACAGTTTGAGCTTTGTAGATGTAAACACACTAATAAACCAGGATTACTCAAACATGCGTGAGTCCAGATATGTCTTTTGATGAGGTAACAACATTATAACATGGCATAAAGCTCAGTTTAAATCAGGTCTAGAGATGCACAAAACCAGGACCTGAAAAGAACTAATGCTATTCTAAGGGTGCGTTCACATTTGCACAAACACCACATTAAAGGCTACCTGATTTTTTTCCCCCATGTATCTGAACAGAATGTGTCTTGCTCCAATACAGATATATTGAATAAGCAGCTTTTGGGACCAAATTAAGTCTGCTTTGTACTGTCTGCATCAAAATTTAAAGCATGCTAGTTGTTAGATTTAATGTGATGGTCTGTGAGAGTTCTGACAAATACTCAGTGAATTATTAGTATTTTCAGATTGCATAAGGTAAGTGAATAATAACTTCAGACCACTGCAAACTGTTAAAAAAATGTTGCCTCTGTTTTTCACATTTTAAAGGAGTAAAAATCACATACGTATAGTGGCTTTAAAATTGTGACAAAACTGTGAAAGTGAAACTAAACTGGGACTAAACCAGGATTAGACCAGGACTGAGTCAGGACTGAGTCAGGACTAAATCAGTACTAAATCAGTCAGGACTAAGTCAGGACTAAGTCAGGACTAAGAAAGGACTAAGCCAGGACTAAACCATGACCCAATCTCTGTCTACTATATCTACAACATTAACAATTTTATATTTTTTGCATTGCCCTTTCCATCTTTATAGTGACTTTTTTTTCTAATTACTACAAACTGACAAGATATACATAGCACCAGATAAGTAGGCCTACCACATATGAGCTTTAATGAATACCTTTTTGATAATACTATATCCTGCGACCCATATCAAATCTCCCATGTCCCTGTCTGGCTCCCAGCCCAGAGCCTGAGGAGCGTGGCTTAAGAGTATGACTTTTCCAGGTACTTTATAATGAAAATCCTAATCCCTCGATGAATTTGTTCGATTACACAGTGAATAAATTTGATTAAACTGAGAAGTAATGAACTATTTTTAATTCCTAATCCTTTCTGCTCATAGCCAGCGTTTCCTTTGAGATTTTAAAGCTGCTTTTTAATATTAAACTCTCACAGGATTGGCGAAGTTCATATTATTTCATGTGTTTTTCAGTCTTAAATCTTTTTTTTTTTTTTTTTTCTACTGTGAAAAGACGTGTAATTTTATCGTCACGTCTCCATGGCGATGTGAAACAGCTGGCGCGGGCAACAGTTACTAAGCAACAAGTGATTATGGTGAGTTTTTCTGGTCACCAAAGTCAGACGAGAAGAGTAAATGGACTGTGGACGTCAAGACAGAACTTAGGCACGATTATTTTTAAACCTGATATTTTAGTGTAAATCCAGCAATATAACTAAACAAATGTAGATATATTTATTTGAAAATGGTATTGCTTTGTTACAGTTGGCGTAAAAAGATGTTATGTTTAAAATAATAAGGGACTTGTACTTGATTATTAAAGAAAGATACTAAGTTTGGAAAAGCTGTCAGCAGCCCTAACTAACTACTGCTTCTATTGCCAGTTAAGAAAGTTAAAAGTGAAAAGAGAAAACATAAACTTGCTGCTCTGCTATGGCTGTTCATTGGTTCCAGAATGAGGACTGTTGCCATAGCAGTTAACAATTCAAATATTAAGTAAATTATATAACATACATGTATAAATATTATGTCTTTTGAATGGGGAAAAAGAGAAAATCCATGTATTGTATAGATCTAAAGCAAAAGGTAGTTTAATAGGCTTCTACTATAACACTGACAACTTAGGATAGTCAATATAGAAATATATGGACAAAATTGTATTGTTTTAAATAACAAAATTGTCTTGGTAGGGCGTTCACATGTGTCCTGGTTTGAGTTCAGTTTAGTCCTGATTAAGACCCCGTTTACACTGAAAGGAATCCGTGTATCACCATATCACCGTATCGGAAACAATCTGCGTCCACTCAAGTTGTTTCTATGTCCACAATCCTTCCTTATCCACACAGCTTTGAGCATTTTTGTTTACGTTTTACAGAAACAAAACTTAAAACCGCATGGCTAATTAGCATAAACTGAACTCTCAAAACAGCTCGATATTGTGCACTGATGCGGTTCAACTTCTGTCGGACTAAAGGACACAACTCAGTGGAATATGAGTGTTTTTTCTGTGACAGAGGGCTGTTCTGCTAATGGTGAGTCTGTTCTGTGCTTCTATTGCATTGGAGACGGGTCATGTTAAACTTTTCAGAGATTACACGTCTGCAGGTCATACACTTAGATGGCGGTGAATTAGTTACTTTGCGGTGCATAGATCTACATCAGCGTTTTCAGGCATCACCGTGCAGGATCAGATCTGTACTCGAATGAATTTGTGGGAGCTGGCGGCACCAGATCGTTTTCCATCGGATTAGTGTGGATGAACACTGCATACGTACTAGTGTGGATGGGGCCATAGACTTGGTTTGGTTCTGTTGTAATCCTGGTTTAGTCTAGTGTGAGACAGTTTTCTTTGTTCTACTGTTACTTAATTATCCATGTGTTTATAAATAATGTATAAATAGGGCCGCTGTCATATCAGTTAACAAAATCTATCTTTTGAATGGTGAAAAATCCTTAAAATGTTGCCTGTAACAAGAGGAAACGGGAAACCCATCCACCTCTTGGTAACAATTTTGAGTCTAATTGAGTTCTAGAAATATATAGACCTATAACTGAATATATTACCTGCTCACGGTAACTTTTTTTTCTTTGTGGCCCAGTTGCTTATATCAAATTTTAGTCTGTGTTTAAAGGGATAGACCACCTTCAAACATTGTATAACAGTATCATTCTCCACACAGGCCCCCAGGAGCAGAAGCCAGAGCCCCCACTCCAGGATAAGTCCAGGCCTGTCTAGTCTTGTGTCCAGTAAACGCGGAGGGAGACGAATAAGGATCGATTTGAAGAAAGGTAAGCACTAATCTCAACAACCATAGTCAACAATAGCATAAAATGAAAAGCATATGTCTAGACCTCACCACAGAATGTCTAATTAGTGCAGGAGGAATAAAACAATACAGCTCTTATGATTTGCAATTAATTTCGAATCATAGTTTGAATTGCAGCCTGGTGACTCATTCCCATCAGAGGCGTAATAAAGTCTGATGTCATGTTGGCAAGCTCCATTTGTTCAATTGTGAATCGGATATTATTGTTCATTGCAAACTGTGTGTTCAATTCATAAATTTGTGTCCCGTAGGTCCACTGTGAAATGTAATTGAAATGCATAACTGACTAGAACAAAATACCTAAATATGTCTGTGCAGAGTCTGATGGTTTTGGATTTTGAAAACAACAAGTTGAAATAAACTTAGAAAAGTGTGGTACTCACTCAGCATAAAAGAATAATAATAAGTACATCTAAACCTACATAAGTACCTAAGTAAGTGTAATTGGGATGATTGTAGAATGATGGCCACATCTCTATCAGTTTGCCCCAGGGCAGTTGTGGCTACAGATGTTTCTAAGCACAATATACTTGTAACTCAGGGACACCGTTGTATTCAATTGGACTATCATATTTTTTGGACTGTCGCTCCGGAGTATTAGTCGCACCAGCCAAGAAATGCGTAATGAAGAAGGAAAAAAACATATATAAGTTGCACTGGACTATAAGTCGCACTTTTGGAGGGAAATTTCTTTTATAAAATCAGAGACCAGGAACTGACATTTCATCTTGAAAGGCAAATTATAGTAATAACAACAGAATAGAGAACAACAGACTGTTAATGTAACATAACAGATAACTATAGCATTCAGATAACTATAGCATAAACAATAGAATATAACACGTTTACCAAACTCTCCATCTCACTCCAAATCACTAAATCCATTGAATTCTTCATCCTCTGTGTCACTTCTGAGCAACTCCGCGACCTCTGGCGGTAAACAGAGCATTGCTTCCTCTTCTGCGTAGCTGTCGTCAGACTCAGCATCAGTTCTAGTTAGAATTATTCCGGCCTTTCTCACTCCCAACAAGATGGTTTCGGTGTCACTGAAGTCCAGGCTTTGTCAATCCATCCAATGACTTCCAGGAAAGTTGCATGGCGCCTCTGCCCGGTTACCGTGAAGCTGTATTCTCCATCCCCGCTTTTCACCAGTCCGTCACAAGTATCTTGCTCACTGTTTTCGACTAAATATTTGCAGCAGGACACATGCAGGAGATATGCGTAGTAGGGCACCAAGTGACAGTGATACAGGAGTAATAGAAGTAGCAGATACTGGCACACAAGCCTAGAGCGCCCTCTCTCAGGTGTCAGTCTGAACATTTTAATATAAAAGTCGTACCGGAGTATAAGTTGCAGGACCACCCAAACCATGAAAAAAGTGTGACTTATAGTCCAAAAAATAGTGTACTTTTCTTGAACATTAAACCATATAGAATGTGACTAGACAATTTTCACATTTAACAACATGACTTTATGGTAAATTGTGACAGATTATAGACAGAAAAAAACAATATATTCTGTGGAGTAATATTCTGTCTTACATATTCAGTGTTTCCCAATAATAAAAGATGCCAAAAAGATGTTATATTACATGCAAAGAAGGAAGCCTCAGTCTCAGCATAATCCGTGGGAAACAATATGTCCATGGGTTTCTGAGTGATAAAAATCTAGCACCGTTGCCATAGCATTTAAAAACAAAATATTATATCTTTTGAATGGGCAAGTCATCAAAATATCATTTATAAACAGAAAGCCCTGAATATAGTAGCAATATATAGTCTAATTCTCCATGTCTATATTAAACCTGTTGTCCCGGGCCTGTATCCATTCTATTGTCCTCTATAACATCTCTTTTTCGTCATTCTTTGGCCCACTGTCCTTCCCACCCTTTCCTCTTCCCTCCATCTTCCTGATTCCCTCTCTTCAGGGTCTATTAAGTCTTTATTGATCTGTTCATTTCTGCTGATATGAATTCATAGCTAGCCAAAGTGCTGACTCTGCAGTGCTAAAGAGACCAGACTAAATGAGGTCTATAAAGGAGCACTGCACTCTCCATTGCTCCACTATATCGCACTATACGCTCATGTGGTCATTTTGTGCATACATGTATGTTTATAAGCCAGCCACACACTCACTCTCTTATGGGTTTTATGGTTTTAATCTAGGCCTTTTCCAGCACATTCAGTCTTCATTCACACTTGGTTGCCTCTTTTCATTTTTTTTCTTTTTTTTTCATGCCTTTTTTTTTGCCCCGCGGGTGAACTCGTCACACTAGAAAATATCGCCACAAGCTACAGCTAAAGGGCTTTAAGCAACAGGAACGTGCAATCTCCTCCAGGTTTAGCTTTTAACCCCTCGTCTCTACGGGAAAGAACAAAGTTAACAGTCCTCAGATGGCTTTATGTGTTCTTGATGTTGACTTCTATTACCTACAGCAGTGGATCTTGAACTTTTCACAGCCATGTCACTCAATAGGAAATCAGTTAGCTCTTTAAAGTCTATTTGTAGTGACATGAGCAGGATAGACCCCGGGCGGGAGAATTTAACATAAATACAAAAACTAATAAATAACAGGAAGCACAAACAGTGGTTATGTTTACACACACACACCAACAATCTGACTCCTATCTGATTCCAGAAGTTATCAGATTATTGAAATGTAAACAGTTACATCTCATGTGAGTCATTTTCACGCCTGTGTAGGTTCTGACAATTATGCGAAAATGATAAAATAATGGGGCAACGACAAAATGAGAGTGAAAATATTAAAGGTCCTATATTACACCAGCTTTAAGTCATGTTAGAATGTTTTTATCTCATCACTAACATACCTGGAGTTGTGTTTTGTTTCATTTACACAAGTTTGAGTAACCCTTCATTATTCTGTCTACATTTCCAAAGCTCAAAATGTTTAATTCCACTTTGTGATGTCATGCAGGGGTAGTTTTAAAGTTAACAGGTACCTTTTGCGTGTGGTTCAGTAGAGATAGTCAATTCCAGGGCTAAAATAATCCAAATGATTCTAGTGTGTAATAGGTATTTGGTTAGACATAACATATGAATAGCAGAATAGCATGAGTGTTTTTTATTCTGCTTCCTCTAGTATCTTATATTTTTGATTAGCTGAATTATTAGTGATTTTCTAACTAAAATTTAAATACAGTTCATAGTAAATAAATACATTTCCCTTGTGGCTAAATAAAGTTTTATGAATCTAATATTTTCTGTATTATATTATGTCCTTTGTGATTTGTAGGTTCAGAGGGTCTTGGTTTCACTGTGGTGACCAGAGATTCTTCAGTCCATGGTCCCGGGCCCATTCTGGTCAAAAACATTCTGCCTCGTGGAGCGGCCGTCAAAGATGGACGCCTGCAGTCTGGGGACCGTATCCTGGAGGTATGTTAGTCTGTCCCAGGGCAGAGGAGTGAATCAAGAATGCACCATCATTTAAAACAAGTCTTATTATATTTATATTATTGGTAACACTTTAGTTTAGGGATCATATTTTTGGCTAATAGTAAATACATAATATGTGCTTGTTTACATTTTTGGTAGTAATTTATTCAAGTACTGTTTTCCTAATAGCAATGATTCAGAAATATACAGCCATAAACATATTTCTTCCCATTATACTCTTAGTATAAGTAGTGCTCCTTATAGCATTATTAGCTTTAGATGCTTATGTACATATTTCTGCTATTTAACAAGAGTTTTATAAATGCAAATTAATAGCTGAATAACTGCTAACAGCATACAAATACCTCTTTGTTTGTGATTAATATATGATCTCTAGAGTCGTACTATTTTCAATTTGAAGAACCAATACAAATTTAAATGTTGAGATGATTATTATTTTGACAGGCAGCAGTTAACTTTTCCAGCATACACTATTTAAGCTCATAGTGATATTTTATATTTAGCTAAAACCAGACTTACTCTGTTACAAAATGTAGGTTTGCTTGAGGCTAAACCATGAAGGCAAAGATTACTGGTTCAAGCATGAATAAACTATGCACCTAGATTGACAACAGTAAACCCTGCAATGTCTTTCAAATGTTTGACACAAAAGAAAACGTGAAACCTTCGCCACCCCAAATCCGCGGATGTTGTATGCACTTCTATTGTTCGCAGGATTCAAAATCACATCTTGACAGTAGCTCTCTCTCCAGTACTCAGAGCCTGGAGCAGTCTTAAGCCCAGCGGCCTCTGTATCACTATTGTGCTGCCAACATTTCGGTGCTCAGTAAATGCTACTTGTCTATGTCTCCTGCCATGAGGAAAATCTCTGCTGGGTTTTCAAAATAGAAGACAGATTGCTGGAATTTTACAACTGCTGTTTATCTATTGTACACTGTTCCACATGTGCCCAATTATATGGTTAAAATTGTGTAGATCTGAGTTGCATTATTTTATTTTTTCATCCACTTAAATTTCTTCCTAGCATGTGCTTCTAGCATCGTACTAATTAAGAAAATGATTCCTTTCTGATTTGAAGGATTTTGTGAGGCCTTTCCCCATTCAAAAAATACAGTATTTGATTTGTATTGCTCTATTGCTTTAACAATAGAGGACCATTGCTATGCCAAATCCTTCGAATCAGGAAGGAATCCTTGTGCATGAAAGCCATAAATACTGACACAAACACATGCTTGTCAGTGCCAATTTTTGATTTGAAAATATATATATATTACACAAAATTGTGAGCTGTAAGCCAAGTTATAATGCTGTCACCTCCTCAAAAGCATACCTGGAGTTGTGTTTTGTTTCATTTACACATGTTTGAGTAACCCTTTATTATTAGTCTGTCTACATCTCCAAAGCTCAAAATGCTCAGTTCCACCTTGTGATGTCATGAGGCAGTAGTTTTCATGTTAACTTTTACCTTTCGTTCAAAAAGACTGGCAATTCCAGGACTGAAATGATCCAAATTTTTTTTTATGAAATTGTATGAAGTTTAAAAACACAGTGGAGTACTTCCTGTATTACCACTTGACATCACAAGGTGGAACAGAATGTTTTCTGTCTGAGAGAACATGCAGGATCTGTGAGTTTTAGATGTCATGTGATTAGGAAACAACATTGTAACATAGATCTGAAAATAGTGTAAAATGGGCCCTTTAATTAATACTGTGCCCCAAACTCCTAACCCTAACCCCTTAATGAAATTGTTGCTAATCCTGAATCATTCTTAATTAAGGTGCAGTGATTATAAAGTGGTACCAAACTACAGAATTTTGTAAGATTCCTGCATGCAGTAAATGTCATTATGAGAGTACATTTGTGGTATTAACTTGTTTATTTCCCTGTTGTAGGTGAATGGAGTGGACATCACAGGCGTGGGTCAGGAGGAGCTGGTGTCTATGCTCCGTAGCACTCGTCAGGGAGAGAGCGTCAGCCTCGTGGTCCTACGGCAAGAGGACATGTTCCTGCCCCGAGAAATGGTAAGAAACTCAGATAGGAACTCTCCCCAGACCAGTGGTTCTCAAACTGCAAAATATAGTCACATTTATGATTTTTGTCCTCCTTTGGGTTAATTGTTTTGGTTTAGACTTGGTTTAGATCTGATGGTACTCTGAAGGCTGAATATTTTCTAACTTGCATAATCCCCACACCATAATTGGGACTAAACTGTGACTATATTCGGAGCTAAACTGAAACTAGACCAGAAAAAGTGTGAATGCACCCTTTTTGATCATCATTTTTGTCCTCCTTTGGGGTTGGTCCTTATTTAGAACTATTATAGCAATCATCCAGTAATACTTTTAGGCATAGTTTAGATTTGGTTTATCTAGTGGTACTTATACGACCAAATATTTTCTTTGGGTGTAGTCCTGTCCTAGACTTGGTTTGGTAGTTTAGTCCTAGTCTATTCTTGTCTTGGTCTTAATTTTGAGTTTAGTTTTAATTTAATCCTGGGTTTAAAGTATGAACACAGCCTTAGATTATACTTGAGGTGAAAAAGTGTTTGAGAACCACTGCCTTAGCTCAATGTGTAGCATCCACCATTTTACTACAAAATATTTAAATGATCAGGGCAATTCTTCAATATAATAATCTTATAATGTTGCTATTTTAGGTCCATTCAACAGGTTTGCTTTGGTGATACACAACACAATAGTGATAATGGCTTTGTTGGCATTGCTATTACTGTGACATTATTTAGTACTTTGAATGAGCCACTTGTAACACAACAACAACTCCTACTACTACACTTTGTAACTGAATAATATTAACAATAACTATTTTCTGGAATTGCACTATTTCTGTCTTGTTCCATTGAGATTTCACATCTTAATAAAAACCTTTAATTTCATTCCTGTCCTTTCCTTCTTTCCTCTAAGCATTTTAAACTAATACTTGCACAATGTCCTAAATTACATTGTCTTATTTAGGCTGAAACTTGTTTAAAAATGTTGGAAAGTAATATTTTCTTCACTGTTTGAACTTGATTACTACATCCTAATAAAAGCCTTTAAATTCATCCCTGTCTTTTCCTTCTTGCCTCTGTTACTTTGATCTAATCATTGTCTTACATCTTCACTTACACTCTTATCTTATTTTTCAAACCTGTTCAAATCTGTTCTGTTTTTCTCCTAAGTGAAAGTGAGCACACATACATAATAATGTGTGAATCATGTACGTCATCTTGCAAGTGTTAAAACAGCTGCGAGAAGAAGTCAGCATTTAATGTTTAGATCAGTGATTTTCAACAAGCACCAACCTAGAAAATTACTTTCAGAGAACCATATAAACAGGCTAAAACACAAAAGGTACAAGCCAAGTAATGAACCAATGAGTAAACCAGGTCCGATCCTGTTTTTACCCATTACTGAACCAGGACATGACCCATTATTAAAAAACAAAAACAGAATTAAGCAGGATTTATCATCAAACTGTAACATCTAAATCAAAACACATGCAGATAATGAACTAATGCTACTACTAGTACTACTAACTACTACTACTGTTACTTCAACTAGACTGATCTACTGTTAGTACACTTCAGACAGTTTAAAGAGACATTTTTGGCATGTAACAAATCCCAGAACAGATATATTTTAAAAGCAGCTCTTAGGGTCAAAATGAAACTGTTATGTGCTGTCTGCATTTAATTATAGATTATTTTGATCCTCTGTGAACCAGGAAGCGCACTGTTAGCATGCTAGTTGATTCTACCATTACCGTGATGGTGAAACTCTTCACTGGTCTTAAAGGGACAGTCCGGAATTTTGGACAAGGACCTTCTTAGTTGATTGTTGGAGATGTGTGGAGACACAATTTTAGAAGTAAAACCAACCTTGCATTTGAAGGATTTATGTCTGAGCAGCAGCAGCGAGTTTATCGGCAAAGTAAAATTCCGCTGCTGCTGAGAAAATAGTCCCTCAACATGCGATGCAAGGTTAGTTTTATTTCAAACATTATTTTATCAACACAGACATTTACATTGACAGTCTGGCGTAATAATACATTTGCCTTGGGTGCACTGTGGAGTGGGTAAGACTGTTTTTAGTGTCAGGATAACTATGACCAGTCACATGCACTAGCCTAGCACCAGTGGCCTCTGCAAATACAAGGACTGGATGGAATATTTTAAAAAGTGTCTCCACACGTCTCCAACACTCTGGCTCACTAGGAAATGAAGTCCTATGTCCAAAATTCCAGACTGTCCCTTTAAAGAGGTTTCGGACTCATTGCTGTGAATAATTGGGATGGTAGGAATGGATTAGCTAAGTGAGGAATCATTTTGGATGACTGCAAACTGTTCTGTTTTTCATGTTTCTTTTTGAGTGAGTTAAAATCGGGCACAGTGTCTTTAAAGTTAAATCTTTTCTCTCCCCCACATCCTGACTTTCCACTTAACTTGAGCTCTATCACTTAGCGTCCTAACCTGCATTCTTCTCATTTCCATGTCCGCTGTGTTTTATGTCTTTTTCCTGAGTGTCCTTGTGCATTTGTTGACTGATGTTTCCTCTTGACTCGTCAGGATGTAGACTGTGCACACGACCACTGCCCCATAGGAAATTCTGTTTATGGAGAGCGGAAAGGCAGCGCTGCGCTTGTGTTTGCATAGAGCCATCTCAAGTCTACTGTGACTGATAAAGCCATCTCAGTGTTTACCATGTGCTGAGTTATGACTTAGACTCTGTAATCTGCACTATCCCTCCTCTGACACATTCCCCATACAGGCCCTTATACATGGCTGTATTTTAGAAAAGTTTTATTTCTGCTACATACACACGTTATAAGGACTTCATCTTAATTAGCCTTAATAAAGCATGAAGAACGCATATGCAGTGCGATTCATAATGAACCAATAATGAACCAATTGTGTCTTAACTATAATTCAAGGTTATTAGCTAGGCTTAAATGCACATTATGTAACGTTCTGGAGGTTGCATGTCAAATTATTCCATGGAGAAAAAAAAGTTAAAATAAATTCCATACTTAGGAACACTCTTTGTGGGGGTACACATAAGCCAAGCAGGATAAGGCCCTCCTCCAGGCCAAATAATAGTCAGGTTTGTGGAGATGCAAGCCCACTCACAATAAGGACACGTGTTAAAATAATAAGGACACACATGTTAAAAAAAAAAAAATGTTTGAGTTCGGATTTAGGCTAAGGTTAGATAGGTAGTAGTTATGGTTAAGATTATGATCAGTCTCAAGAAAATTATTCTAATAGTGATGTAACAGTAACCAAAATATTTGGTTAAACTTCTCACAATAATATCGTGGACCATCAGTAAGTCTCTTTGCTTAAATTAAGAGTTATGGTGCAGCAATAGCTAAAAAAAAGACAGAGGGAACTACATAGACCATGATCCTTTGCTCCATTTCAGTGTAGACTACAAGAAGAAATAACAGTTTTAAATTTTGGTCTTTTGGATTAAGTCTTGTCAGTGCAAGAGGAAAAAGTAGCATATTAACAGTTTTGTTAACCTCCACAAAATATCGCAATAAATATCATACCGTGAGATGTATATTGTGAAAATATCTTACCGAGAGATTTGGATATTGTTACATCATATCACGAGCTTTCCCACAATATTGCGGTAAATATCGTATCGTGAGGTTCAAACCGTGACAATATCGTACCGTGAGACTTAGATATCGTTAAACCCAGTGTAATGTCTCCAAAAAGCACAGAAGCTCAACAATGGTAGTAGTGTATGTGTGTGTGCGAAAGGGAGAATTGTCTCTTGATATGATATTACATGCCCAAACCAATGGAAGTAGTAAAATTGAGACCATTTACTCATAACCAAACTCATATATACTCCGTAGCGCTCCTATCTCTGAGCCTATCTCCTGTCTCTCTCCTCGGCTCCGATGCTGCCCCCTGGAGTTCACCTCTGTCTAATTAACAGCTCAGTGTTTATATCACTGTCACAACACTTTACAGTTAACTCGCTGCAACTGTGAACACACTCCTGAATTAGGCCTTCACACATGCCTCTGTCAGTCTATTCTGCTGCGGGAGAAATACAGGCTCCACTATTTCACTTCATTGCCTCAAGCTGTATTTGTGATCAAGCTGGAGTCAAAAGTGGTCTCTTTAGTCTATGGAACTGCAGTGTACTACACGAATAACCTATACAATCTGCCTTTCTTTAATGCAGGGGTAAATTCATGTCGTATTTTCTTCATGATTAGGGCTGGGTATCATTCGGAAATTGCCGATACAATACATACCTCGATACATGCCTTGATACATAGGCCACGATACGATACATATCTCGATACAGTGAGCTTTCGATTCGATATGATTCAGTACAATATATTTAAAATCAATTTGATACGGTTCAATCAAAAATAAAGTCAAAATCATGACTGTGTTAGTAAAATCTTTGTTAAACCAGTTCTTGTGCAAAGTTCATATGAAACACGTTTTAATCATTAAAACAGTGAAAATGTCAAATGTGTCGCAAAAACAATTTTCCTTCCACGAAACAGGCAACAAAACTCTTGTGCTGCAACAAAATAATTTAGAAAAATATATGAAAAAAATACTCTTGGCGATATATCAATATAGCAGCTCACGATAACGATACCGTATCATCACATTGAACGATATGATGTATCGACATTTCAGTATTTTTGCACACCCCTATTCTTGATACATCCTTTCTAATTTGGGGGCGATAGTGACTCAGTGGTTAGAGCAGTGGCCCCCAACTCAAAGGTCAGAGGATTGATCCCGCTCAGACCAAGTTCAGTTCTTGTGTCCTTAGGCACGACACTTCACCTGTCTAGTATGAATGTGGCGGGTGAGTGATTGGTGGTGTTTGCAGGGGCTGATGGCACAGACTGGCAGGCTCTCTTGCATTGCTCTGTCAATATGTGTTTACAATAGCTGACCACCACCCAATATGGTATGAATGAAAAATGACTACAATGTAGTGCTTAATTAATATTATTAGACATTTATCTAATATTATCT